TGCAGGCAATGAGGCAAGCAAGGACGCTAGGAAGCACCTTGTGCAGCAGCAGCTTCCCCCCAGAAGAACAGGTGCTGACTTGCCGGGAGATGCTCCAGGCCTGCCTCTTCCCGTCCCCGCTCCACTCCAGGCCCATCTCTTCCCATCCCCACTCCACCTCCTCCCCAGAGCATGCCACGTCCCCGCTCCTCCCCCTTCCTCCCAGCACTTCCCTGCCGCCAAACAGCTGTTTGGCAGCATGTAGGACTTTCTGGGAGTGAGGGGGAGAAGCAGAGATGCGGCGCTTCCCCGCTCCTCCCCCTCCCACCAGTGGCGGATTTAGAGTTAGTGGGGCCCTGTGCTCAGCTTCATTTTTGGGCCCCCCCCATGGGGGGAGCATTCTCTCTTATCTCCCCCCCGCCATTTTTCATTCTTTTTTCTCCATTCTCCTCCTGGGAATCAGGGCTGGGGGTTCAGGGTCTGGGAGGGAGTTAGGGTGCGGGAGGGCGTGCAGGGTGGGGGTGCAGGGTCTGGGAGGGAGTTAGGGTGCGGGAGGGCGCGCAGGGTGGGGGTGCAGGGTCTGGGAGGGAGTTCGGGTGTGGGAGGGTGCGCAGGGTGGGGGTGCAGGGTCTGCGATCGAGTTAGGGTGTGGGAGAGCACTCAGGGTGGGGTGCGGGGTCTGGGAGCGAGTTACGGTGCGGGAGGGAGCGAAGGGTGTGAGCATGGGCCGGAGGACTCAGGAGAAGCAGGGGCAGCCACGCAGCCAGCGGCTGGAGAGAAGCGGCGTTTCCCCCATCAAACCACTGCTTCTCTCCAGCCAACTTTGAAGGGGAAGTGCTGGGAGGGAGGGAGGGAGGAAGGGGGAGGAGGTGGAGAAGAAGAACTTGTGCAATGCTCCCTTGTAAAGTCCTTTGTAAAGTCAGCCAAACAACCTTATAAGGGAGCATGTTCCCTAATGGAGCAGCAACGTAACTTTGAAACAACGTTAAGCGGGAGGACGTTAAGTGAGGAGTTGCTGTATAGGCAGTGATGAACTGCCAAAAACGTAACAACCGATTCCCGCGGGGACAACTGGTTCTAAAAGGGCTTCTAAATTTAACAACCTGTTCCCGAGAACCGGCTCCAGCTCACCACTGTGTATAGGCTCCTATTACCCCCACCCCACGTCCTGATTTTTCACATTTACTGTCTGGTCACCCTAGCTCCTGCCAGGTGCTGCCCCTGAGCATGAAAGTCCTGTCCATCTGTGAAGCGAGTGGGTGAGGGCTCAGGCAGGGTAGAAGAGAGATGATCTATGGCTGAGGGGTGAGAGGCTCTTTCCCCCAGGGACAGTGGGGTTTGGGAGGGGGCAGGCTTTGGGACCCAGCTGCAGAGGACTCTGGGATACTTCCCCACAATGCAGCGCTCCAGAATCTCCAAGGCCTAGTTGACTCTGCCCTGAGACCGGGGCGGAGCAGGGATTTGCACCCAGGTTTCCAGACCTGGGCCGACCCCTTTCCCCTCTCCCCCTGATTGTGACCCCCCACCCCCCCACCTGCACTGGACAGGCCAGAGATGCCCAGCCTGGGCCCATGGCGCGAGGGGGCTATTTCCGCTGGACCTCAGAATATTCTGTGGCCGGGGCCTCCGGAGGCTCCGCCCCTTTGCGCTGCAGCTTGGAGAAGTCGATGGCAGCATAGTGCAGCTCGTCTGGCTCCCCGGGGCCTAGCGGGGCCTGTGCTGTGGCAGCCCCCTCCTGGGCGCCTTTGGTCCGGTGGGTGGCTGGAGTCTTGTGATGCTGAGTGAGAAGCAAGGCAAGACACCAGGCAGAGACTTTCATCCACCCTGCTGAGCTGATTGCATGAGCTGCCCCAGGCCCCCGTTTCCCCCACCCTCCGTGCAAATGCATTTCCTGCATCGGGGGTGTACTAGCAATAGGGTTACCATATTTCAGCAAGCAAAAAAGAGGACGGGAGGAGTCC